GTGAAGGCCATGACTGAGTGAGGGGCGTGAGGGCGGTGAGTGGCGTGAGAGCTATGAGTGCGTGAGGGCCGTGAGGGCGGTGAGGGGCGTGAGGGCCATGAGTGAGGGGCGTGAGGCCGTTGAGTGGCGTGAGGGCCATGAGCGCGTGAGGGGCGTGAGGGCCGTGAGGGCCGTGAGGGCGGTGAGGGGCGTGAGGGCGGTGAGTGGCGTGAGGGCGGTGAGTGACGTGAGGGCTGTGAGTGCGTAAGGGCCGTGAGGGCGGTGAGGGGCATGAAGGCCATGACTGAATGAGGGGCGTGAGGGCGGTGTGTGGCGTGAGGGCTATGAGTGCGTGAGGGCCGTGAGGGCGGTGAGGGGCGTGAGGGCCATGAGTGAGTTAGGGGCGTGAGGGCGGTGAGTGGCGTGAGGGCCATGAGTGCGTGAGGGGCGTGAGGGCCGTGAGGGTGGTGAGGGCCGTGAGGGCGGTGAGTGCGTGAGGGGCGTGAGGGCCATGAGCGTGTGAGGGGCGTGAGGGCCGTGAGGTTCAATGAGGGTGAGTGAAGGGCTGAAGGTGAGTGTGACTTGAGGACGAGGGTGAGTGAGGGGCTGAAGGTGAGTGTAGCTGTGAGGGTGAGGGTGAGTGAGGGGCTTAGGTGAGTGTGGCTGTGAGGTGAGGGTGAGTGAGGGTGACCGAAAATGCCGACCTCTGCCGCCAACACTGGCTGAAGCCATAGCCTCCTCAATACTTACAGAGCCTGGCAGTTCGACGACGGAGCCAGAGTGCCCGGTCGCAGATTTGGAGCGCGAGGATCTGGTAGCACAGAGCATTTCTCGTGGAGCCTGTAGTCAGCGCAAAGCTTTTGCAGCGGCGAGGACCCGAGACATGGTTTTCAAACCCGTCGAGAAACGAAGCGGAAGCGCGATGAACGCGAGGAGCACGAGCGGATATTTCATCGCTCGGGAGAAGTGTGTTTCGGCGTCTCGCCGCAGTGGGGCGCCCGTCACGTGGTTCTCCTCTCATCCGTTGTCTGCCGCTCTACCTACCGAATGAACTGGCGTCAGACGTGCTATCTAGCGTTCCAGTGTTTTTCTATCTGCTTGATCGGGCTCACTGGCTCACGGGCCGCGATCGCAATACGACCTGCGTTGATCGTCTGCTAGCGTGTCCGCCTCTCCGCCCGCTTTCCCTTCCTCCCCACGGGACAGCGCAAGGCACGACCAGTCTGTGCAGGCGGCGTCTGCCATTAAATTGCAAACGCACTCCATAGTTTGAGTTGCTCGCTGTCTTAAATATGTGCGCTCTGGATTTTAGGGAGTCTTCGAACACTTTGGGTCGACGCCCCAAGCTGCTCGGGGGAGCCAACGTGTTGGGACCCCCTATTCTAAAACTCTTTATAGATGGGCATCGTTTGTCTGTGGTAGTCTATAAAGAAGACTGGAAGTGTGACGATCGCGCGTGCGAGAGCGGTCGCGCTATCCGAGCAGCCAAGGCGGAAATCAATATTTTTTAAACCATGAAATGCCTTTTTAATGCTTCCCCCAAAATCTAAAAATTTACCGTCTGTCCGTCTGCCCGTGAATTTTCAACTAAATTTGAAGGAGGAAAGGACGTAACGGCACTCAACGTCACGTGACCTTTCCATAAAGTAAGGACATTGACGTCCCGTTACCTATTCAGTTTGCCCGCTAAATTTAGCGGCAAAAATTCACGTCTTGTGAAAACACCAATTCAGTTTCCCCGCTAAATTTAGCGGGGAAATTGACGTCACGTGACCTATGCACTTCAGTTTCGCCGCTATAGTGGGGAAATCGATATGACCTAAACACCACTACAGTTTCCCCGTAAATTTAGCGGGCGAAATCGACGTCACGCGACAAACCGATTCCTTCTTCCCATCCCACTCCTCTTTTCGCCTCCCTTTCTTCCTTCCCCCTGGTCACGTGACAAAGCAATTCAGTTTCCCAAAAATTGTAAAAAAAAAAAAAAGATATCCTTCACTCCTGGAGTTTAATGCCTTCCAAAGAACTCAAATAATCGCTCCTAAATACTGCATTCCATGCATAAGAGGACTTTGAAGCTCGCTCCCATTTTTAAGTAGATTGTTTTATTTAAAACATAATTATTTGTTTAAATCACTGTAGCTTGAAAATAATGATTCTTTACCGGTAGATGTATCTTAAACATGTAAGATTGATCGATTAATCCACCGGATAACCGAAAACAAAGTGGGAAAAAGAGTTGCTCTATGTTCTCAAGAAACTCTCGATGTAAACCTTGTTATAAGAGAACAGAAGCAGCTTCAACTTTTAATTACTAAAAAAAAAACAAAAAAAAACCGCTTTTATTGTTTTTTTCATTCGCGTTCTGATTTGCTTACTGTAGGACCTAACATAACGGACAAACGGTGTAGAAGGGAGAAACTCGAACGATCCCACTTACTCAGAAGTGCAGCACCTTTTTCTTGTGTCCAGCTTATGAATATTTAAACGAAAACAAATGCAAACAGAACGTAAGACATAATACACAAACGGTAATTATATATATAAAAAAGAAACACTGCGGGGATTTTTTTTTTGCTGAAATCGTTTGATTATAGTCATCATAGCAAAACCGATCTGATTTCAATCACGATTTAAATCATGATCTGAATTACGATTTAAATCATACTGATTTTTATTCTCCACCCTGTACAGAGCGCGGCAGAGTCCGTATGCGGGAAGCAAGGCCACCTTGCACACCAACGCTAAGAGACGGAAACAAAAGTGTGCGGATTTAGCATTTTATACAATAGAGACTTTTAGCAAACCGTTTCCGTGTTGCGCGTACCGCATTACGGGAGCCTTTGAAGCATGCTTTTAAGCGCGTGCCTGGGTGATACCGTGACCGCGTGACCACGGGGATACCGTGACAGCGAGGTGCCCACTCAAAAGCGCGCTTGAAAGGCTCCCGTAGTGCGGTACGCGCAACACAGAAACGGTTTGCTAAAAGTCCCTATTGAGTAGAGTTATCGTTCAGCCGTAAATGGAAACATGATTCGTTATAATTTTATAAAGTTTTGCCTGCTTCGTTGCAATGAGAACCCAATTTCCAATTGAATTTTTTTTTTTTTGCCTTTTCGGTGCTGCTGCCAACTAAGAACTAACAGATGGTACTATGGTGATTGTGACGTATCAGCATAAAGCGTGTGGACCGCGCTCGGTCGCATGGAGGAGAGACATATATCCTCACCTCACCTACTAGTCCATATCATACCGTTTGCCAACAAAAAAGTGAAGATCAAGATGTTAGCCCTTTCCCAATAATGCCTAAAACTGTACGAGGTTTTTTGGTTTTGTTTTTCATAGTTTTGTGGAGTCGTGCGGGGGTCTGCTCACACGGACAAGACCTGAGATCATCGTTCGCAGCGCATGCTCTAGCGAGGCCGTATTTCCAGTCTACTAAGAATATGATAACTTTGACGAAGTGAAGCGCATGTTGCGGTAGCGCTGGGTAAGCTCGCCGCTGGCACGCGCTCAGCTGGAACTGACTGAGCTTGAGCGGCCATCTTGTTAGCACGCGTGAAAACGCAGGTGTAGTGCTAGCCGCAGCACGGGAAAACGGCTTGCCGCAGAACAAGATGAGCACTGCTTTCCTTCCAGCTCACCGTGGCTGCGACCAACATCACCTAGAAGACGATGGCTGCTTTTTCCTCCCCCAAACGCTATCACTAGTGCAATCTAAAAAGAAAAAGAAAAAGTGTAGTCTTACACTTTTGTGTCCCATATAATACACCCAAAACTTCAGTTCGACGTACAGCCTACTGACGTCGAATTGAAGGCCCCAACCTTTACGAGGGGCTCGATAATGACGCGATATAACTTATTAAACAACTAAAATACGCATAAAAAATGACCAGAAATCTTTTTTTTTTCTTTAAATCAGTTACACGTACATTAGCTACTTTGATAAGTTTTACCACTGGGCTATCAAGCCGCTCGTGAAACTTGGTTCGGCCGGTTCGGGGTCGGTGCGCCGTAGGTCCAACAAGTTTTCGGGTGTATATATGGAACAAGGGGTGTAAAACCTTTTTCTTCTGGACGTATGGATTCAGGCTGCGCCTCTTGTGTCGGCATTGCCGCCAGCGCATCCCGCAGCATCTCACAATGAGCACGACGCCAAGACGCACATGTTTGCCGCTCTTCGGCGACTCTATGTTGAGCTTCCACGTGTTCGCCGCTTGGGGCGCGTCGGGGACCCAGTAAAGATGACGTCGTGCGCAGGATTTTGTCTTTTATAGGTGGCAGTTTGTGGCGCTTCTACGAGTCGGTTTGTGGCGCAATCACTTGCCGGCAAGTGTATAAGGTGTTCCTGTCAGATCACTTATACACTTGCCGGCAAGTGTATAAGGTGTTCCTGTCAGAGTAATTTGCCCGAACATCGTTGTTGGCACTTCCTTTTGTAAAAGGGCTTCTTTTTTGCGGAAGTTACGTTTACACGAATACATGCCGCGAAGAAACGACAAATGTTGCTCGACGGCGCGTTCGCTCTCCGCGTGGTGGCATCAGGACAGAGGCTGTTTGCGCCGCGAACAAAGCGAACGTGCCGCCGCGCTAAGTTTGTTGATTGTTTGCTGTCCATAAATTCGCTCTGCCATTAGGCGACGACGCGTCATAGCCAACGGGGCATTACGAACACTTCAAAAAGCCTGCGCATCCACCTTCCCGTAAAACACTCAAATAGAAAAAAAAAAAAAACCGAAACACGCGTGCGAAAAAAATGACCGGAATTTGTGTTTGACCTCGTCGTTAACGGAGTTCTCTGATCGCAGTTACTCGGTTTCACTTTAAACGATTCGATGAGGCCAATGAAGCATCGGAAAAAGTGCCAATGAAATGCATAGGCACAGTTTTCTATACGGCCCCCTCCCGTCAAACGTGGACAAGTGCTGGCGGTTTTAACTATAACAATGGTGCGTGCTTGGTTTAGTGAGACAACGGCTCGTGCGCAACTTTGTTGAACATCTATTACACTGTCGAAGAAAGGGCGCTAACACTTTTTTTTTTGTCTTCTCCCAAATTAAGTGTGGATGAAACGGTGTCGTGTTCTGGAAGTCGTACGTTGGAAGGGTCCTGGATTAGGTTGTGATCTCGATGACGTAAGTTCTTCGGCCGGGCCGACGTCTTCTCTGCCTGCCTCGAACTTCGCAGCAAACACGCGTACACACACACGCACACACGCACGTTCTGAATGTACAGCTTCTCGGTGGCGCTCACACATATGCACATGTACATCCGATGCTCACATCAACGCACAAGGTGATGAATGTCGATGTCACACGGTGGGTGGAGAGAACAGCAATGGGGAGGAGGTAGGAACGTGGGCAGGGTTGCAGTCACCGGTCGTCCGCCGCATGATCTCACTTGTTGGACTGGGGTTCCTTATCCTTCCAATAAATATAGTTCTTCTCTATGTACTCCATGAGCTCGGGGAACTCGCCGAAGTCTGCGCAAGGAGGAACAGTCAGAATCAGCTGGTGGGCGGGTTGGTCTCACATATGGCATTAAAAGTAGCGCACGAGGAACAAGGCCAAGTTCGTCTGCGTTTGCTTACCCTCCAAAGGTGCTTCTGTTCACCCCGCATACCTGAACCAACAACTGCGCGCGCTTGGCCGCCTCGTCACCGGGCTGCGTTCGCTGCGCGTTCTCTCTAGTGCCATTTGATTGGCGTCCGAACGCCGGCGTCCGGAATTTGAACGTCATACCCTACCCACTCATTCACACTGGAAGCGGATCCGCGTTCGCAAAGCGGTTGCGAACGCGGTTGTATAAAGATCCGGTACAATTGCACGCGCACTCGATGGCATCAAGTGCGCGTGCAATTGTACTGGATCTTTATACAACCGCGTTCGCAACCGCTTTGCGAACGCGGATCCGCTTCCAGTGTGAATGAGCGGTACAAGAAAAGCAGACGACGCTCTTGCTCGCTCTGGTTGGAAGGAGAAGCTGGGTGGAGACAAGAGCAGCTGACCTTTGCGCCGACGCGCTAATCCTTCCAGTAAGAACTCGACGCTGCCGTCTCCTGTTCTCCTTCAGTTTCTTTTCGTGTATAAATTTCTCGCTCATTATGTTGAACTTTACCAACAGAGATGTGATTCCTGTTGACTAGTTGTCGACAGGGGTCACACGTCACCCGCCCCAACTCATAATAAATGAATTGGTTGTATAACTCGAACTAATAGAAATAGTCACTAAGGTGTATATTGGGCCAAATTAAAGTTCACTGGGTCAATAGTAATTCAAAGTAATAAAAAGAGTAATCATAATGTCAACTAGGCTTATAATCAATCAGTTGGTTGAATATCAGCTCAAAGTAATTAAGTCATCAAGATGTCAATTAGGACAAATTAAAGTCCATTGGGTCAACAGTAACTCGAAGTAATCAAAAGAGTAACCATAATGTTACTCGTTGTGATAATAAATCAGTTAGTCTATAACTTTCTCAAGGTAATGTCGAGAGTAATCATGATCTCAGTTAGGCCGAATCAAACACCATTAGGTCAATAGTAGTTGAAGTAATCAAAAGAGGGATCAAAATGGGAACTGAGCTGAAAATAAATCACTCGTTGGTATCAAAGCTCAAAGTAATAGTGAGAGTGAAGATTTATGTCAGTTAGATCAACAAAAAGTCAAATAGGTCACTAGTTACTCAAAATGATCAAGATGTCAATAAGGCTGGTATTAACTAGACATGTGACTAATATATTGGTGAAAGATAAAAAGTAACCACTAAGTTAATTAAGTTAATTTAAAGTCACTTGACGGAATAGTAAGACGAATTAATAAAATGACTAATGAAACTTCCAGCTGAACTTATATGAAGTCACCTGTGTCAATATCAATTCAGTGACCGACTCAGCGACGAAATGTTTCCTTCTATAAAGTTGTTTGCGTCAATAATAGCTATATAACCAAAAAAGTAATCAGAATATCTAATGAGCTCCTACGAAGTGATATTTTTGTCAATAATTCGTCGAAGTAATCGAGAGTAATAAAATGTTAAGCTTTTAATATGTAAATTGTGTTATTAATAGGTCGAAGTAATTAGAAGTGGAAACGATTTGAAGTCAGCGGTGTCAGTAATAGCGAGAAGTAATAATAATCATAATCACAAATCGCAATTTTACTTATATCATCTGAACTCTATCAATAATAAGTCGAAGTAATGAGAAAGAGTAAACAGGACCTCAAATCAACTAAAGTCGAGTGCGCCACTCATAACCGGAGGTTACCAAACAAGTAATCCACATGTCAATCGTACGACACTAGTCGCACGATTGACATGTAAATGTCTCTTTTTAGTTTTTTTTTTTTTTTTTCAGTTTCTCTCCGCAGACTTTCAACTAACAGCAACCATAGCTTTCGCAGTGCATCACGCTCAGGAAAAGCGGAGCGCAGTTTTTCTCTTGGCCAAAGTTTGGACAATCGAATCTCGCATCACGGGGTCTCGAATCTGGGGGAAGCCTTTAAAGCAGGGCTCTCCAAACTTCTTGGCTGAGATCGGGGATCTTTCGCTGTTTTGAGGGCCGGTAAATAAATAAGTCATTATAAATGAGGAAAAACGAAATGAATTATCTTGGATAAGCATATAAAACAAATAAAAGATATAGTAAAAAAACAATGGTGGACGAATACGTAGACTTTATTTCCTTATAACGCATTATTAGCGGTGAGATGTTTCGGTGGCGCCCTCCTTCGGTTACCTTTCGTGACGTCGTTACCTTGTGAACAACAAGTTCGATGGTGTTTGTAATGAGCATGGTGAACGCCTGAAGTCATGGCGGTCTCAAACCAATACTGCCAACACCGTCAAAATTGAAGTTCTTACATTCCTCTTATTTCCGTCGATGAGACATCCCTTGCTGACGTCATAGTCATCATTCGGCCAATTGTGGTGGGCCGACCACAGCGACGCTTTCGATCGCTTACGTCGCCAATAATTGGGCCCCAAAAAACCAACCAGGCATAAATCAAAGCGCGTAGGAACTTTGACATGGTAATACTTGACGGCGCACAGCAGACAACACACCATCAAAACAGATCTAAACAAAGAAACAACACTCACGCAGCGCTGACTGTCAACTCTCGGATATATTGAACATCATCTTCGTTATCTTTTACTCTTACGTACTAAAAAGAAGAAAATAAAAGTTAACCAAGGAAGAACGAAGAAAGAAAAAGGAGAGAAGATAAGGAAGAAAAAGAAGTCAAGAAAAGAAAATACAAAATAAAATTAAAAAGAAAGAAATGACAGAGAATAAGAGCAAGGCCTACTACAGTAAAAGTTACTAAGGAGGTTTTCCTAAATAATCTAAAGCCTGGTTCAGACAGTTGCGTTTGACTGCGTCTGACTGCGTTGCGGCAGCGAGAAACCAGGACATCTCTGCTGCTTATACCGCGTGCCAAGATGATTCCTTGAATTGGATTCCACGCTTCATACGAAGCACAGATATGCCGGTGACTCGCTTTCGGTTCTCGGCGCAACGCTGTCAAACGCATTCAAACGCAAGTGTCTGTCTGAACCGGCCTTAACTCTTTTTCTGGATAAGCTAATCGACGGGGTACCAACACATAATCCATCTAGCAGGTCTATGCTAACGGCTTCGATAATTTCTCTAGTTAGTTTGTTCTTGCTTCGTCCCAGTACTGTGCAATTGGTTAGAAAGGGGTAGCATCCCCAATCTCTGCAATGATTGCCCAGATGACCTGAGTTAGCGTTAATGGCGTTGTTGTTATGTTCTCGAAGCCTATTCCCACAGGTAAGAGGGAGAGAATATATCACTCCTTCTGCACAGGAAACGAACTTGGTCTTGTGGTTTTTGCTGCAGCATAATCCATCTAGCAGGTCTATGCTAGCGGCTTCGATAATTTCTCTAGTTAGTTTGTTCTTGCTTCGTCCCAGTACTGTGCGATTGTTTGGAAGGGGGGAGCATCCTCAATCTCTGCAATGAATGCCCAGATGACCTGAGTTAGCGTTAATGGCGTTGTTATGTTCTCAAAGCCTATCGTTAAGACAGCGTCTGCCCAACGTAACACTTCCCACAGGTAAGAGGGAGAGAATATATTACTCTTTTTGCACAGGAAACGAACTTGGTCTTGTGGTATTTGTTGCAGCATAATACATCTAGCAGGTCTATGCTAGCGGCTTCGATAATTTCTCTAGTTAGTATGTTCTTGCTTCGTCCCAGTACTGTGCTATTGTTTAGAAGGGGGGAGCATCCCCAATCTCTGCAATGAATGCCCAGATGACCTGAGTTAGCGTTAATGGCGTTGTTGTTATGTTCTCGAAGCCTATCGTTAAGACAGCGTCTGCCCAACGTAACACTTCCCACAGGTAAGAGGGAGAGAATATGTCACTCCTTCTGCACAGGAAACAAACTTGGTCTTGTGGTTTTTGTTGCAGCAGGTGTGTTGTCTGTTGTGCGCTGTGAAGTATTAGCATGATTAACCAACTCGCCCAAGCTGAAGTTTTGACATGTTCACGCGGGGTAGAAGACTTGTGAGAATGAAAAAAAATTTGTTGCTGACATTACGCAATAGATACGATAGAGGACTCTAAGCACAATATACCGAGCGTCTCAAGTAGCGGCCAGGCTCTTTACATCGACCGCAAAATTCAGTTTCTGAACCTATCGCGCTATGATTTTGTGCAGCGTTGCCCACGGGTGGTGCATCTTTTTCTATAAAATTTGCAAAGAGCGAACTTACCTGAGGAAGAAGTAAAAAATAAAAAAAAATGCTTAACTCCTATGGAAATGCGGCGAAGCCACGGGTCTTCGAACCATAGGGCGCCCTGTGGTTTGAAGACCGGTGGCTTCGCTGCGTTTCCATAGGAGTTAATCCTTTTTCTTTCTTTACTTTTTCCTCAAGTAAGTTCGCTCCATGCAAATCTTATCGAAAAAAATTCACCCACCTGTGGGCAACGCTGCACAAAATCGTAGCGCGATAGGTTAAGAAACCGAATTTTGAGGTCTATTTAACGAGCCAGGCCGCTATTGGAGACACCCGACACATGGGAACGCAACGGAATTGGAACACACGTAATTACACAGATATGAAGCAGAAGACTAAGAATGGTGTTGCTGGTGATGACGATGTCCAATGAGTAACATCACGAGAGGCCACGCCTTACTAAACAGTTTTCAGGGTAGTCTTTTTAGAGCGCAGCTCTTAGGGGCCCGTTTCCAGCCTGAGCGGCGTCGCCGTCGGCGTAACCGCGCGTTGCATGCAACTCAGAGGAGATGCAACAGGTTGTATGCAACCTGAGATGCAGCAACTCAGAGGAGATGCAACAGGTTGCATGCAACCTGAGATGCAACAACTCAGAGGAGATGCAACAGGTTGCATGCAACCTGAGATGCGGCAACTCAGAGGAGATGCGACAGGATGCATGCAACCTGAGATGCAGCAACTCAGAGGAGATGCAACAGGTTGCATGCAACAGGTCACGTGACTCCCCCAGTCACGTGACCACCCCGAGGACACGTGACCACCCTCAGGGTCACGTGAGCCCCTCAGGGCCCGTGAGCCGCGGTCAGTCACGGGCCGGTCGGATGATCTCAGCGGGCCGGATTCGGCCCGCGGGCCACTGTTTGGAGACCCCTGCTTTAGAGGAATACTGAATCGAAACTTAAGATATATCTCTCACGTTCAGAAATAAATGAAACATGATCAACTCAATCTGAGAATGAGAATTGCACGCTTGTATTTTGAATAAATAACTAGGTTTTTCGGGTATATTAACACTTTCTCCTCTTCTTCTATTTGTATTATAGGCTAGGGCCAGGGAGAACAACTGATCTTTTTTTTCTTTTCTTTCGATATGAAAGAAATGTTGTCAGTCAGCGCAGCGTATGTGTCTCTTTCTTTTGTGTGTATGTTAACTCGAGTGACTGTTATTCGGGTGCGCTGTTCCCCCTGTAGATTTTTCGTTCCCCGATCCCAGCGAGCGCTCGATGATCAGCCATCGAAGAGCGCGACGCATCACGGGATGTGTACCAATCGACGTCAAAACGTGACGTCAGTTGTTTCAACACTAACAAAGCCGCTTGAGGGCTGGCGTGGTTATGGGTTCTACCACTTTGTGTCGTCAACCCGTCACAACTTGGCCGTTTTCAGTGGCCCCTCCCCGCTCCCCACAAGAGTTGAATAGGCCGGGAGACATCCGGTTCGCACGCGGCTTGTCGCTGTACTTCCGCAGAGCGGCGATGCTTTTAGTGCATAGTGACGTAACGACATTCGGTTTATTCCTTTTAAATGTTTTGGTGTCTTTTCGAGCAAAAAATTAGCGTCTCCGTGGTGTGGCCAGAACGTGGCTGACATTGAGACAATAAAATAGTCGCTAGAAGTTTGTTGCAGTATCCCTTTAAAGCGACCGCATAACTAGGTTTAGTAACGTATGGCGCTACGATTTACCACAGAGGTCCCTGAAGGTAGTAGAAACATCGCACCAACATATCATTTTTTTTTTTTTTGCAAACGGCGCCCGTTTGCTAGCTGCGCACCCTCTGAGTGGCACAATAACCTGAAGATAGCGGCAGTGGTCCCGGCCGGTCAGAGCAGCAGGTTACGGCAGCTCAGTAGCCGCCGGGTCGCGCCGAAAGCAGACGACGCGCAGCTAAAATCACTCGCCGAACCATTACTTTTACTTGTTTTCTGTCAATTTAATCTCTTCTATTGAGAACACAAAACAAATCGAGCACTGACCATTAGATCACCAAAATAGCGCGTTTCGCTTATGATTCGGGAAGGTTGTCTGTTTGCGGCGCGATCGAGCGGCTGTTGAGCTGCCGCAAGCCGCCTCTGCAGCCATTTCTCGTTTTCTTTTTTTTTTTTTTGGGGGGGGGGGGGGGCAGAAAGTCTCCACTTTCTGTGGAGACAGAAAGTACCCGGTTAGCAAACAAAAACTGCCGGTAGAACAAAAAAAAAAAAAAAAAAGAAACAGTTACTGTTTTATTACTCAGGTAAGCTTGTTCTTGAAAATTTTTAAGCAACGACTTCATTTCTTTCAGGCACCCCTGTGGTAAATCGTAGCACGATCCGCTACCGAGCCGATTTAAGCTGTCACTTCAAAAGCTTCACCCATATTCGAAACCCCGTGGTAGAATAAAACCGTTTTTTTTTTGTCTTTTCTTATAGTGACGTCACACAAAAAGACAGTCGTTTGGAGACAAGTGGAAAATTCAGGCGGCACTTGCCTGACCAGGCCCTGAACATGTCTCGCACGAAGTAGTTGATGAATCCCGTCTGGGAGTTGGCAATGCTGCACGTGGCACGGTCGAAGGCAGGCATCACCACGGGCAGGCCGCGACGCTTCTCTTCATCGGTCTGTCACGGAAAGGACACAAGGAGGAGGTCGCGAGAGATTAGATCTTCTCCGCAGCATCTTTTAGCTCGGAAGCAACAATTTCAGCGGGCTTGACATCAGCAGGAACGACATCAGCAGGTTTGACATCAGCAGGTCTGACATCAGCGGGTCTGACATCAGCAGGTTTGACCTCGGAAGGTCTGACATCAGCAGGTTTAACATCAAATCGCACCGGGATACGGTGCAACGCGTCTTCAGCCAAATACCACGTATAGAAGACAAAGCCTGGTCATGGCGTCGTCGTTTGTGGGTTTGAGATGTTTTGGTGGCGGTAACCTCGCGGGCGCCCTCCTGTGACGCAGCTGGTAAGATGCGAGCAAACGACGCGCTATGTCAAAGCATGGAGAGGCTGTGTTAGTCCGCATTTATGCCGATTAAAAACGGTTCTTTTTAATTAAAGAAACACGTATAACTTTTTTGTGAGTGATCTTCCTAATCAATAACAGCGCCTCAAGTTTGCTTTTTGTATTAGAAAAACTAAAATGTTCAGAAACAGGCCTGAGCTTCACCTTACAGCTTGCGCGGCCTGCGTCAGGGCTCATCTCTGACTCTCTTTTTTTTTTAGAATCTTTGGAGGCTGATGTAGAAAAAGGTTTTGTATCCACCATAGTAAATGACGTGCTGTCTTAGCTGTGCACGCGCGCACATGTGTGTTGCAAAGCGCCGCACACTTTTTTGAGCTACATTGAGCGTGCCGATAGTGACGCTTCTATCCATGCATGTGACTCGATAATTACTGCCGAGCAAATGCTCGTCAGCAACTGACGCTTAGTTCCTCCCGAATCGAATGCGTGAAAAAGAAATTTGTCACATCACGACATCACGAAGAAAATGCAGAATTTTTCATAAATTCTTAAAATGTTGGCCATGGCCCGGCAAATTCAGACGATTGATTAATTTGCTTTATCCTGTTTTAACTAAGATTTTTTTACAAATTTAGAATCGCTTGCTGAGGGGTATAAATTTTCCCTATCTGGATTATGGAACTGGAAATCTGTTTCTCGAAACTCGGAACCCAAATTGCAGACAAAGGAATAATTTCTGAAAACCTGAAATCTAGATAGAATTCAAATAGGTTTCCAGTTCCACAATCCAGATAGCGAAAATGTATACACTGGGTTTTTCGGTAGGGTCACGCATTACGCGAATTTGGGTCCGCAAAATTTAAACAAACAAACGGGAGTAATTTATAGCAGGTGCATTTCTCGTTTTCTAGGACGCTGAAGGGTCTTAATAGATCACTTCGATCGCGAGGGGGTCTCGCACGTTTCGAGTCGACAAGTTGGAGAAGCCGGGATTTCATTGAAACGACCCCGTAAGCCAGCCTCCGCTTCTTCATGCCAGTTATTAGGGAATTTTCGTAGATCGTTTCCGCTGTCCCGCAACGCTCTCCGCAACCAGCTACGCTAGCCGGAACTCTACAGTCAAGGCCATCGGCGCGCAGGCGCAGTAGCGGCTGCTTCGTTGCGAAGGGATTAGCGGAGGGGGAAACGCGGTCTACGAACACTCCCTATTTTGAGCAAATATTCGATTACTAATTTACAAAAAGAAGAATCAACTTGGAATTAATAATAGAGCAGCACTCAAAACACATTGAAGCCTGCAATATACACGAAGTTGTTTTCACTGAAGTGTTTATTACACACGCGAGAGGTTCCCGCATTTCGCTTTCCTACAGGGTGATTCAAAGAGACGCCAGGCTCTTTAAATCGACCGCGAAATTCGGTTTCTTAACCTATCGCGCTTCGACTTTGTGCAGCGTTGCCCACAGATGGTGCATTTTTTAGTAAAATTTGCGAAGAGCGAGCTTACCTGAGAAAAAAGTAAAGAAAGAAAAAAAGATTAGTTCTCATGGAAATGCAGCGACGCCACCGGTCTTCAAACAGCACGTTGCCGTTTCGCATGGGAGACAAGAGATGGCACAACGAACGCCACCAACGAACGAGCATTCGGCGCCGAGAGCCGGCGGTTTTAGCACACAATCTTTTCGACTGAAAAGCGGCGCGCGTTCCGCAGGCGGCGATAGTCGCAGAAACAAAGACAGGCGCGGTAACAACAAGGAAGCGCAGTTCCTTGTCTGCTAAAGAGGCCGGCTCTCAGCGTCGTATGCTCGTTCGTTGGGGGCAGTTGGCGTCGCGACCGCTGGCGCCATCTCTTGTCTCCCGTGCGAAACGGCGCCGTGTTGTTTGAAGACCGGTGGCTTCGCTGCGTTTCCATAGGAGCTAAGCCTTTTTCTTTCTTTACTTTTTCCTCGGGTAAGTTCGCTCTTTGCAAATTTCACAAAAAAAAAAAAAATAAAAAAAAAGGCACCATCTGTGGGCAACGCTGCACAAATTCGTAGCGCGATAGGTTAAGAAACCGAATTTTGCGGTCGCTTTAAAGAGCCTGGCGTCTCCTTGAATCACCCTGTATTTTCAATTCGATGAGACCTTCCCTTCTTAGTTTTATTGTGTCCGAATTATAATAAAAAATACGTCCTATTCGCCGTGGTACATGTTGTAGTGGGATAAAATGCTGGATATTCTATATAATCATCATTCAGCTTTTTGCACGGGGTAGAAAACAGTACACCAACATCCGAGCGCATCGACACCTCAACTCCAAAAGTTTTTGTTGGTACGACTACGCGTGCCGCGTGCGGTTTCAAAATACGGTAAAATGTCCTACTAAAAATATCAACTTCACCAAATAAACACACCGCTTGAAGCGCTTCGCCGAGCGTTACCCAAACAACGCAGGAGGCGAGCTGACGAGCCGAGGTATCCAAGGTCTGCGCTGTCTGTCCCGGTCTGTCCTAACCGTGACGTCACAAACGATGATGACGGTAGCTAGAGAAGCGCCCCCTGTAGTTCGCACACGCCGCCGATAGCTGTTTTTGTCTCTATTCACTCTTCGCACGCGAACGCCGAACTCCAGATGCCGGCATTTGGCGTTCGAACGGGTTCTAACCGTGAGCAGCGGAGACAAAGGCAACTAGCGTTGCGTCTACCCACTACTAATTCCAACCAGAGCTTGCCGCTCTGGCGTCCTCACATCTCCTCCTCTCTCTTGGCGTCTACGCGAGGGTGCACGATAGGCAGGGGGGAAACGAGAACCGATTGGGCGACCTGATTCTGTCCCCGCTTCCAGGAAGGTTCGCAGTACTCCACATAGATGTCTTCCCGAAAAGAAGAAGCGAAAAACGAAATATCCCCATTAATTTTGCAGTACACATGGCCCACTGACAATTTATTTCATAAACTCTGCATAAACCACACAGGTTTAATTGAGCAGAGTAACGATATATTTAACATATAGCTTCTGTTTTGCTTGTACAGTTTAACATTACAAGCTAAAATAACCAAGTAGGCGCGCAGCGCGACAAAATGGAGCCGAGGTGAGAAGTCAGTTGATGAGCTGAGACGTGTCGTGAATGCGTTGACCACGTCGATTCCACTTCGTCTGCGGATGTGTTCGGCGACCTGGCTTATACGTTTCCAATATTTACGTGCAAGAAAGGTAAGTTTTAGTGCGACGTCATTTGAATACAGAGGTACGCCGTCGCACTATCACTGTGGTCCCACTGTGCGCATGCACGACAGAGTCACCCGAACTCAACATTGCCCGCGTTAAATATCACCGCTTTTTCTTTCTTAGGGCCGTAACTCGATCGACAGTTCACAAAACACAACAGTAGCGGCCCATACCTCAAGAATCTTGGTCGTCCCCAGACGCCAAAACTCGGCGAGAAATGCCCATTTCGTCTGCTACCGCCAAACTCGTCTGCTCTAAGCGCGTTCGGTAGAAAAACAAATCAAACGAAAAGTAAAGAGCACGTTAGATGTTGCTTTTGGAAGTGTGAGCGATCTGTAAGTAAGCAATTTAGTGAACGGAGGTGCGAGATATCCATTTCTTTTCAAGAAGCCGAGGGTTTTGTAAGTACTCGCTACTATGCTACCCATTTGATTATATCAGTTTAACGTTTCTGAGAAGTGGACACCTAGGTACTCGTAGACAGACACGTTGTCAACGTCGCGTGCTAAAAGAGAATACTGGGTAGATAATCTGCTTGGAGATGTGGAAATGTTCATGCGTTTTCTTTTTGAGATATGAGATATGATATGAGCTTCATGAGCCAAGCCGTACACCAAGTTCCAGTTCTATCAAGGTCACCCTGCTATACTAAATGGTCGGATATATTGAATATCTTTCTATATATGACGTAATCATCAGCAAAAAGCCTAATGGACCTTTTCCACATACCGACGGCACCAGGCGGTGGCTGCACGAACTAAAAATGGAGGAAGTAACCTACCTGCGCTACCAATCGATAATGGGAGCTACGCTACCAGTTTCTTCGCTCTCTGAGCAGCGGCGCCTGCCCAACGCGACTTTAAAGAGGGGCATCCGTGGCGTCCACCCAAACGTCGTGTTTTCCTTTCCATCGACATTCTTTTTTTGTGTAACACAATTACATATATGCTGGAGTTACGTGTTCTGCTCGCTGATATACAGCCTCCTTCCGAATTTCCTCGATTTTTCGTTCCGACTTCCGCCGCTTGGCATCGGGCGCCCGCGCGTGCGCACAGCGCTTCTCGGAAAAGGCCCATTGTGGGTGGTAATGAAGAAGGTAGGTCATTGCCATATAAGGTGGTCCTAGTCACCAGGCTCGATCTAAAATAGACTAAAAATCAACGCCTGAACGTAGCCATCTAAATTTTTCGTCAAAGGTGTATTTCACGGGTCGATTTTTTCTTCTAAAATTGCAAAGCGTAGATCTCTTTCTGTAAAAAATAGTGCCAAAAAACTTGCCAGGGTCTACGAAATGCGACGACCTAGACGACTAAGTCCAGTAGCGGGGTTTGTTTGGCGTTCGTATTGATAGATGCTGTCGGGAGCAGCGTCCGAAGGTGCAGCCGACCAGCGAAAGAAAGCAGACGACACGCAGACGAAATCCGTTCCCAGCAAAAGCGCCGTCGTTATGCAAACGCGTCTTTTTACTTTATGTTTTGCTTTTATTGTCCGCATTTATTTTTGAACCGAAGCTACATTTCAAAAAAGATTATGTTAATTTTAATAAACCACGGCGGTCGCGAGCCGTCGCGATAAGGAGGTAGCGTCATCTATCAATACGAACGCCAAACACACCCCACTACTGGACCCCTGTCGCCTGCGTCGCATCCCGCCGTAAACCCTGGCAAGTCTATTGGCCTTATTTTTTACATCTTAGATCGAGCCTGGTGACTTGGACCACCCTATATATTAGAAACAGAAGAGGCCCGAGAACGCTGCCTTGCTGTGCACCAGACGACACTGAACGCGTCGTCTGGTGCACAAGAACTCGCCGTCTGCACACGATATTGATCGCGTGCAGACGGCCAGTTTCCGCAGTCCTTTTGGAGCGTGCATTTAACACCATCAAGGTTGCCGGTCTTAGCTGGCTATTAATGTGAGCTCGTTCTGAGCATGCGCTCTAAACATCGCCCTCAAATATGGCGTCCAGTGAATACCTCCTATGGACGCCTCTCGCTGACCGACATTGAAGCGAGGGACAGAGAGCTCGCGCTCACGTCATTTCACTTCCGTACCCCTTTAAAGGGGTACGGAAACAAAATGAAGTGAGCGCGAGCTCTCAACCCCTCGCTTCAAATTTGACCAGGGAGACGCTCATTGCGCGTCGCAATCGTGACGTCAATACCGGGTGATTCAAGGAGACGGCAGGCTCTTTAAATCGACCAGAAAATTCGGTTTCCTAACCTATCGCGCTACGATTTTGTGCAGCGTTGATCCCAGATGGTGCATTTTAGAACGCAGCTCTTAGGGCCCGTTCCCGGCTTGAGCGGCGTCGGCGTCGGCGTAGCCAAGGTCACCCCAAGGTCACGTGACCCCTCTCCTAGGGTCACGTGACCCCTCCCCCAGGGTCACGTGACCCCAAGGTCACATGACCCCTAAGGTCACGTGACACCCAACGTCACGTGACCCCCGAAGTCACGTGACACCCCCCGAGGTCACGTGACCTCCCCGAGGACGTCATCGTCACTGATGACGTCACCGGCATCCGCATCGTCATCGTCATCATCACTGATGACGTCATCAGTGGCGTCACTGATGACCTCACCGGCATCCGCATCGTCATCGTCATCATCACTGATGACGTCACTGTTGACGTCACCGGCATCCGCATTGTCATCGTCATCATCACGGATGACGTCATCATTGATGTCATTGATGACGTCACCGGCATCCGCATCATCGCTGATGACGTCATCGGAGTCCGCATCGTCATCGTCACTGATGACGTCATCAGTGACGTCACTGATGACATCATCGGCATCGTCACGTGACCCCCCCCCCCCCAGGTCACTTCGTCCTCCCCAGTACCCTTCCCTCCTCCTCCTCAAGAGCTGCGCTCTAATTCGGTGTTACAGGGAGTTGTAAACGGCTTTCACTTTTTTTTGTAAAATTTGCAAAGAGCGAACTTACCTGAGGAAAAAGTAAAGAAAGAAAAAGGCTTAGCTCCCATGGAAACGCAGCGACGCCACCGGTCTTCAAACAACACGGCGCCGTTTCGCACGGGAGACAAGAGATGGCGCAACGAACGCCGCCAACGAACGAGCATACGGCGCCGAGAGCCAGCGTCTTTAGCAGACAATCTTTTCGACTCAAAAGCGGCGCGCGTTCCGCAGGCGGGGACAGTCGAAGAAACAAAAGCAGCCGCGGTAGGAATAAGGAACCGCAGTTCATTGTCTGCTAAATACGCCGGCTCTCGGCGTCGTCTGCTCGTTCGTTGGCGGCAGTTGGCGTCGCGACCGCTTGCGCCATCTCTTGTCTCCCGTGCGAAACGGCGCCGTGTTGTTTGAAGACCGGTGGCGTCGCGGCATTTCCATGGGAGCTAAGCCTTTTTCTTTCTTTACTTTTTCCTCAGGTAAGTTCGCTCTTTGCAAATTTTACAAAAAAAAAAAGAACCATCTTGAGGCAACGCTGCACAAAGTCGTAGCGCGATAGGTTAAGAAACCGAATTTTCCGGTCGATTTGAAGAGCCTGCCGTCTCCTTGATTCACCCGGTAGCTTTCGTACGGTCAAGGGTATCGTAGTTGCGATCCTTGCCTCTTGGTAGCGTCAAGGCGTGACAATCTCGCCTAGAAGTAATATCCGAGGAATGTACGCCTTATGGCCTATACATAGCTTGCCCGTAACGTCATTCGCGGCCATGCCGGTATTTTATGTGGCACGAGGGTTCGCTTCGCCGTGTTATTTTCACACCGCAGAAGTAGTGGCTCGAAAGAACCAGTAAGTAGAAATAACCGTCAGTAGCCAGCAGTGACGTATTGTTGGCCTGGAAGAGGTCCCCGCATCCTCAGATCAAGCTCCTACCTGTCTGCAGAAAACGGCGATCTCGATGGTGGAGAATGCACGTTGCAGAAGCACAGTGGAGCTGAGACTGCAGCTAAAGTGACTTTAACTGCAGCCAATGCCACAACTACGAGAGCTAGATTCAAAGTTACTAGGTTACCCAAGTAGTGGAACTCCCGCAGAAGGGGCACCCCCCTTCACTCACTTCAGTCCACCTCCCGTCGTTCGAAGCGCCATCTAGATTCTCGTTAACGAACTGTGCATTCCATAGAGTACGGAGAAGCGTCATCTAGGCGCTGCGCTTCGAAACATACGTATCCCATAGAATATACTACAGGTACCAGAGCAGCCGTCCGGCGCGTCGAACCACCGGAGGCGAGTAGTGGTGAGTGAGGGGGGGGGGGGGGGGGGGGGGGGGGGGGGGTACCGCTCGTGCATGCAGCTTCTCTGACCAGTTCCGTAACTGAGCTTATTTAATAACGCTGGCTAGAGGTCACTGCTTTGAAGCGTTGTTCATCAGAACAATCGAGCGCTCGCGCTATAAATGCATGTCTCAAAGCCAGGAACGCGGGCTAGGTCGCGCTTGTAGCTTTGGCTGCAGTCTCAGCTTATGAGTGTTCTCTCCCAAGTCACATTCAGGACTAAGTAACTCCACGAGAGAGCCACCCTGCCGCGAACTGGCGCTGCTTCTTGGGAACTCATGACGTGACGGCATTCCAACGGAGCTTCACAGACCGCGACCAGACGAAATTTTGAAATCTGTTCATTTGTTTAAAAATTGGTTTTCTTGACATCTCTGCCTGCAGTCCTGAAACGCTGGTGAAGGCTAGTGTTTCTGGACGGCCGGAACAACATCGACCACATCTAAAAAAAGTGCAATCATTTTGTTTCCGTAAGCCTTTACGCTGAAACAAAGTATGGCATCATGCCGCGCTATCGGCTTTTATTGCTTCTCATGCAAACCACCTATGTCTCAATACATCGTTTAAAAAGACAAAAGATGGGAGAATGTTGATGGTGCGGGGCAGTGCCTTCCAAAAATGGCGACGGCAGGAAGGGAGGGGAGGGTTTACGCATGCGCAGAGGCATGCACTGGCAAAAGATGTCAGCCAATCGGACACCTCCAGAATATTGAATGGCAAATTCGCGTAGAGAAGCCACCCTAGATCCGGTACTTTGTTGTCTTTGGAACTTTCCGAGTACCACTGCGCCGTGCAGTATTACGGACAATCTCGCAAAGTACAGTAAGCGAGCGCGAACCTCTCGGACGAAAGGGTGTATTTTAGTGAAAAACCCGAGACTGAGGTGATGACAGACAACGACAAGGAAGAAAAGGAGAATGACTCAAATTGAGACGTTCTTCTTCTCTTTCTTGTCATCGTCTGTCATTACCTCAGTCTCGGGTTTTTTCACAAAAATGTTCGATATACACCAGCTCACTTGCGTTCTTACGTCCTGTCAGCGTACCTGGGCGCAGTACTCTTCTGCGATGCGGCTGGCCCACTGGCTGCAAAGCTGGATGGGCCTGGCGGGGTTGGAGACGTCGGAGCATTTGATGAGCATTCGCTTGATGAGGATGATGTTTTCGGCTGAGCGCAGGCCGGAATCTCCGTGATCCGGCATCGCCTGCGTGTGCAAGTAACGATGATGATGTCATTGTACTCACGTGGTATGAGCGCGTATTCCGTGGCGCGCCCAAGCGACAGGTGTGCGCTCGCAGGACTATACGGTTCCCAGAACGCGCGTTGCGTGTTTAGCCTCCTATTCTGCCATACATCAGTTTCCGAAGTGGCAAGAAATGACGTCACCAAAGCCGGCGTGTCATGTTGCCGGATGTCGCTATCCGGGCGGTTGGATCGCGACATCCAGCAAGAGGGCGCCACACTTGCGACGCCATCTCCCGGTAGGCGCAGCCAGCATTACCATAATCGTTTTCACCTCAATAATCGTAGCAAAAAAAAGTCCGACTCCTCGCGTAGCATGACTAATTTCCCTTTCATGTAGATAATTAAGATATATGTAGGTGCAGTTTAGATTAGATATGTGCTATTTTATCAAGACGTACACGCTTCAAACACCAAAAGCATAGTTTCTTTCTCCGCCAACCAAATCCTATAAGAACTATTTTGCGCGGCGTATGAACAATGCGCAAAACATGCTTTTTTCTTGAGGTGAAAACGCGTATAGATTACCCCAGTTGTGAAACCCCGCGGTACCCCCCCCCCCCCCCCCCCCCCCCCCCACCCCCTCCCACCCCCAAACTTGTACATAGTTCAACTACTCTACTCAAGTTACTGTAGTTTAACTAGTTGTTTAGTGACTTTCAACTATTTTTTTAAGGCGAGCCTTACTTGTTTAATTGAGCGAAAAAGCGTCGAAAAAGCCGAAAAAACACGATTGCACGGCACGCGCCGCTCAATGGAAGACCCTATATACAGGCTGTCACAAAAGAAAATTTACACAGTCTTTTTTACCGCAAAAATAAACTAGGCATCGCCGAACTCTCATTCTCCGCCCAAAGGTAGAGCTAGAGGTCACAACCAGATGCCAAAGTTTCAGCCCGATCCGATAGCTCAATCAAAAGTTATAAGTGATTTTCTGAAAATTTCAATGGGAAAATGGCGGCCGACGGAGTTTACGAACACACTGGGATGTATGGCACCAGAAACCGAAAACAGGCAAAAGTAGGCTCCATTTTCCCATTGAAATTTACAGAAAATCGCTTATAAGTTTTGATTAAGTTATCGGATCGGGCTGACACTTTGGCATCTGGTTGTGACCTCTAGCTCTACCTTTGGGCGGAGAATGACCGTTCGGCGATGCCTAGTTTATTTTTGCGGTAAAGAATACCGTGTAAATTTTCTTTTGTGACACCCTGTACTTGTCCCATTACATTGGTGTCGTCCTTGCGGTCGTCCTAGAAGTTGTCCTAGACCTCTAGGACGACCTCCCTTGTCCCATAACGTGAAAAACAAGCGGCGTCGGCGTTGTTGTTGTTGTGCCCGAAAGGTGACCACAAAAATACGTCATCAAGCGTCATCGGCGTGCCGTCAACAGCACGATTGTGCTAAACAGTACTTGTAGTTTGTATTAAAAGTGCACTGTATTTTCGCATCGTAACTAAATTGTCGTATTGCGCACATACTGAACCTCTTTTTTGTAAACATAAAGTAATGAAAATCAAATAATATTTTAAATATAAGCTAGCAACAATGTGCGTGACATCACTTAAATTTTCTGATCATTTATAAGGCAAATTTACAAATTGACTATAAAAAAAAATATTGCATATGGAATGCTCAGCGCCGGATCCTTGAGTGTGCCACGTCCACGAACTAATTATGGTCTTCTGATGAATCAGCACACATTTCCAACAGTGTTGCATTAAAAAAAACAAGAACCACAAACAAACCAAGGTGTCTGCATCAAAAATTTAAATAAGACGACATTGCGCGAAATATTATCCTCTTCATAACATATTTCTCGGTGTAGTGCATAAATGTCATTTTTCTGTTTCAAATAATGCAATTACATCCTGCTGACTGATCTGCCTGTACGGGAACAGGGGCTTCGTCAAGCTGCACTTATACAACCTTTTCTCCTGCCTCCATTGCCCAATTTGTATTATGGGAGTAAACGAAATGAATCAAATTTTGTTTGTAGTACTTTACTACTTCAAACATGATGCACTCGGTTTGCTTTATATAAAGCACATGGCATTTCATTTACTTTGTACTTTACTTCAAGTACTTTTTAGATGCATTTTACGCAACACTTTAAGCAAGCAAACACTGTCTGCAAAATCAAGCTGGGGCAGTGCTAAACCTCAAAGTAAAAATGATACATCCGCAGTACATCGTTGACTAAGGAAAAAAAAATGTACAAGAACGATTGGGCAGGCAGAAGCAGAGCGAGCATTTCTGTGAAAACACATGCCGACTTATATTTGGCTAGCAGCATTTCGCTAACGCATCAAAACCTATGTACTTTTTTGTTACCCTAAAAATACAGAAGTAACTTGAAAAGTAATTCGCTACTTTTTACGGTCGTTAGTAATTTACTCATTTACTTTCCATTTGAGTTATTTCTACTCTACCGAAATTAATTATGAAGCCGATACTCAGTGGCTGAACGTAATTACTTTTTTGAGTAACTTGTACATGTTTGACCTCCCTCACTCGGTTCAGTTCACCTTCCGTCGTTTGTAAGCGCCCTCTAGATTTTCGTTTCAAAACTGTGTGTTCCATAGAGTACGGTGCAACGCCGTCTAGGCAGTAGAGAGTGTCAGGGAGCCGTTTTTGAAGATTAGATATTGTACGACGTGCCCTTCGGTACAAACTGTGCATGTGCGAGCCTTCAGCAGTTGCATATGCGCAGTGCGTACCGAAAGGTCCAACGTACCGTATCGGATGCGCAAAAACGGTTCCCTAAAACTCTAATGTGCTTCGAAACGTACGTATTCCATAAAATACACTGCAGTTGCCGTAGCAGCCGCTGGCGCGTCGAATGACGGGTGACGAGCTGTGGTCAAAGAGATTTGGGGGGGGGGGGGGGGGGGGACTGCTCGTGCATGCAGTGTCTATGAGCAGTTTCGTAACGGAGCGAATCTAATAACGTTGGGCGCAGCTAGCAGACAACAGAGTGAGTAGTCAGCTCGCTGCCCCCTATCGAAAGATGGCACCACAAGTTACATTATTAACCCGATCGCCTGCGAACATGTCCGCCATTGACTTCGGCAAGTTTGTTGGTCTCGTCCTTTACAGGAACAGAACTACGCCTTGAAATTTCACAAGGTAAAATCCACCACCTAAACTCACACTCGGTGAGTTTAGGTGGTGCCTGCACTATGCCACAACCTATCTCAGACCTAAAGGCAGCTAGCATTGAGGTCTACCCACAATCGTTCCAAATAGAGCCAATCAGAGCACGGCGTTCTAACCTCACTGCTACCCCTGCGCAACAAGCAGACGAACTTGCGCTCCGCATAGGTTAACAAACGACCTCGTCGTTCTGGTGTGAACAGACAGCGCTACCTCAGACTCGAAGGCCTCGTCCTCCTGAATGGGCTTCTGGAAGGCGTTGAGGAACTTGGAAAGGTGCTCGAAGTGCTTGGTCATCTCGGTGGCGAGGACCATATCGATGACGGACAGGCGCACCGTGCGGTACACCTCCCGCTCCAGGTTCTGGAAGATGTTCACCTTCTCGTCCGACAGCGTCAGCTTGAAGGCGAACGCCGCGTGGTGGCTCTCCAGCACTGACCTGTAGCCATCCGAAAGACGCACGGCATGACGAGATAACCGCTCGCTGTACGTCCTCCCTCTAAAACGCGGTGTTCTGATAGACCGCTCTCAGCCCCTACTCGCGCTTTAAAAATGACACATCACTGCAGATGAAGATGGGTCGCGGAAGGTAACCCTACCTCTCTTCGACTTCCAGTGATGTTCTTTCATTCTTGAAGCGCGAGTGCCCCTTAGAACACCTCGCACGACTCGCTGCTTTTGTGCCATTAGTCTGCCAAAATCGCTGTTTTATATTTCTTGAAATTAACGCAGAATTGATGCTCGCCCTTGGCTGTGGTGTGCAAACCATGCTGAAGAGCCAATATGCTTGAGCATGTGGCCACAAACACTCGTGTAGTGTCGCACGAAAGGTTCACACAATGACGACTTTTAGCATAATGATACATGAAGGTCCCTTCCTTCAGCGGCTGCGCGCGCAACGCTAGTTTTTTTTTACTTCACAAAGCTATAGTCTCTGAAATTTTTGGTCGCACCTCGTATAATACTAGCACCGCTTACAAGCTGGTTGTGGATGTGAGTGTGAGTGCAAGCTGGCAAGCAAGTCAAGAGTCGTACCGGTCATTGTAGAGAATGGCCAGCTCATTGTCGGAGTTGCACAAAAACGGGCTCGACTTGCCCGGATGGTCGATGTCGTGCACCACTGCGGAGATGAGGCAGATGGCTTCGTCCAACGGGTCAAAGATGTCCTGCAAAACCATCGGGCTCGCGTCAGCCACTGGTGTCAGTGGTGGACGGCATTAGAAAAGGTTGGGTGTCGCACAAAAGAACTCTGGGACAGAACACTGTCATACATCTAACATAAAAAAAAAATGAAGGCCTGCGAACATCCTCCTCTCACTCCATGAGACGTCATCACATTCGAATGGCGCCAACTCGGCAATAGACCATATTGGAAATACGCAGCGCGTCCCATCCTCTCTTCGACACATTACGGACATCCGATATACGGCGCGTGGAAAAATACCCGTCAATAGAAGGGGCGGTTTATGTTTGCTTATAGCATTTCGCGATCTCAGAACGCAAAGAAAATCTGATGAGAACAGAACAGGGGAATATGTTTGCTCTGTTTTCATCGAGTTCTGAACTCGCAGTGGTAAGGAGGAATTGAGCCACTTCCAGGATATTTGTATCCTGGAAGGGTAAATAATAATTACATTATTTATTCTTAAAGACCCTTGAGGGACTTCAAGGGTAAATAAATGTAGGATCCGGAACGAGTCTGTATACATCGAAATGGCCGGACAGTTCCCTGCGCGGTGGAATGTGGGATTGACGAGAAGCCTTGTGGGGGAAGGCTCACTGGACCCGAGCCGGATGCCGTGAGTTCTTCACCGCGTTGCTTGGACACGTGGCCAAGCTCAACGCTGACGCCAAATTCGTGTCCAGTCTATATCTTCGCTCGATCTCACCGTGATGGCGTCAAAATTTTAGTGGCTTTGATTATTCTAGGTAGTATTGTTAGCGCCGGGAGAAAAGGAAAGTGGAACATCGCAGTTCTCTAAACGAAAAACAGACGAAAAAAGGGGCAGCATACAAACGCGGGATGTTTGCTTGTTTCCCTCCTATTTGTTTTTTCTTTTTGTCCGTCGAACGCGATTTAAAATATGTGTAACCTAAACCAGCTCGCCTGTTCGCTAACTTTAACCTCAATTCCAGTTCAGCTGGATCGTGCTGATCATCTCCTGGCGATATAGGACACGACTCTCTCTTTGCGCGATTTCCTTGATGCCAAGTGAATTAATTTAAAATGTAGACATATAAGTAAGCTGAATACTACTGAACCATTTGAATCTGTTTGATGTAACACGTGAACGATGACAGGATGAGCCTTTCGTTCGCAGAGCCATCCGCGGACGGCCAGATGGTTCGGAGTGTCCCTGAAACATTCTGTACGCTAGGTGCCCCGACGAGCGCTCTTCCAGATTCCGAATGCTGGAAGTGCGCGGAGAGCTCTCTGTACCAATATAATTCTATATTATTTCGAGAGCGAGTAGCTGTAATTGTGAGGGACTACTCAATTTTCCTTGTCATTCACCACAAGAAGACCAGTTTGCAGACCTCTTGTAAACCATCTGGAAAAAGGCTTGTTACATCCCTGCGACCGATAGGTCTTCCACCTCTCCTGTACCAAAGTGGAGCACGAAGCACTCCAAATCTGGATCTGGGAAGGTTACTGCTGACGTTTATTCCGGAATCGTTTCCGGCGACGGTGTCGGCGGAGCAGTCACCTTTTTGCGCAGCTTAAGCAAGAAGTAGGCGGTGGCCTGCATGACGTCGCCGGCGTGGGTGGAATTGTGGTACGGGTTCTCCAGGTAGTGCGACTCCACCAGCTGGAGCCAGTTGCGGATAGTGGCGTCGTCGCAGTCCAGGCTCGTGTGCACGTTCAGTTTGGAGAACAGCGAAAGCCCCAGCCAGATGAGGGGCCTGCATGAACGAACAGAGACGTGTAGCATAGCTGTCGCGCCTTCCTGCCGGCCCGGGTTGTCTTTGGCTTGAGCTCTGATTCAATGCGACCTAAAAAACAAGGCCTCCCACTCCCCTCCCCCTCCCTCCCTCCTCCCTCCTCCCCCCCCCCCCCCCCAAGTGGGATAAGAGCGACAGAAGCAATTATAACAACGCATCTCCGCACTGCTACGCAACCGTCGCAGTGCTTTAGCGTATCTTGCCAAACGTCAAACTAACGCAGCGCGCAAATTGGACGGCATCATCTCGGAAGGAATGCCGCGCCGCGTTAGTCCACGTCACGGGCGGAGTGCGTTGACACTTCGGCTCGTTTGTTTCAACAGGCCCAGTTCCCGGTAACCTGGGACTTCACGCCACAGGTTACCGCGAGGATCGAGACGATGTTCGGACAGCCTTTTAAGCTGTCCAAACAGGACACAACAAAAATATGCCCAGCAAAAAAAAAACAAAAAAAAAACAATAAAAACGCGAAGGTTGTTGCGCGTGCGTGCGTTTTCACGGAGGACATTAACCAGGCAACAACACATTTTTCCTCATCGCTTCCTGGTTGCTGTGCCCTCCCTTCTCTTTTCGGGAGATTGGGGATTGACAACCAGAGCCTAGGCCTTAACGACAGACAACAGAGCATGCGGGTGGCCGTCCGGACCCACGTGACGAGCACGTGTGCGCTCCAGGCGTATGTCCAAGTACGGAAGCGGAAAATAACTTTTCCCCCTCGAGGAGAAGGAGAGGAGGAGGAAGAAGGAGGAGGGGAGGGAAAGGGGAGGAGAAGATACGGAGGAGGAGGAGGGGTATACCCTCCTCTCCGTACACTCCCCTCCTTTTCCTCAAGAGTTGCGCTCTAAAATGAATTTTTAAGGCTGTCTGGAAAAGGAGAAAAACGCCAATGATTGATGCAGTCGCAGCAAACGCTGCGACTGCAAAAAACGTGCTCTGTTTGGGTAGGCCTTTAAGTGCTCGATCCCAGGTTCGATTTATACGTCGTTCTGCGTGCCTGCATAAACCATACTTTTATAAGGGGTGCTTACCGTCGTCCGGAGAGCGTCTCCAGCTCAATGATGTCGAATTCCCACTTGACGTCGCTCTCGAGGAGGTCTTTAATCTTGGACGGCGCTGTCGACAGACTGGGAAGCGTGGTCGACGGCGTCGTCACGTTCACTGCCCACACGCCGAATAAAACAAGCGTGTGAATTGATGAAACCAGAATTTTTAATGCGGTAGCATTATAGCGCTAGTTTTCACAAATCCCACCGGTGTGAGTTCGTGCGTCCGTTTGTCAGCACCATGCATGACGTCCCGAGGAGAGTGGGTTGGTGAGGAGGTACTATCGCGTTTACTGATTCAATGTTTCACCATAGTGGTGGGGAGAGAGGGAGAGGGTGACGCGTGCTGACGTCAGCGCTTCGGACCAATACGAGCGTCGCATAGCTGGCGCAGAGCCAGAGACGAGGAGGCGCCACGCCGCTTTAGAATGCGGCCCAGCTCAGTTGCCGCTCCGGCGATGAATGTGGTTCTTTGCTCAAGCTGACCGTATCCAAGAGCGACGACGTAAGAAAGCCGAGTTCACGCGTCGGCTTTCTTCCAATGGAAATGCCGTCATCCGTAAACACAGGATTAACACAGCGCAAACGAACACAAGGACAAGAGGAAGAAGGGACACAGACACAGCGCTGACTCATGACTTAGGCGCCGTTCACATATATGCCACTGAATAAGACCGAGAAAGACCAGACCGGTTTCTAAGCCTCCTGCGACGTCTTAGGTCCAGCTCCGCTGCAGCGCATCCGGGCCTAAGACGTCGTAAGAGGCTTCAAAACCAGTCTCGCCTCTCTCGGTCTTACTCGGTTGCATATGTGTGAACGGCGCTTTACTCTCTTTTTCGTCTTCTTAAAACACATCAACATAAGAAGACACAGAAAGGAAAAATAAAAGGAAGAATCCGACATGGGTAGGACATCTTCAGTGTCACGTGCCATCCTAAAGATTTCTAACAGAAAGTACCATTACAAAAAACGAATAAAAAAGGAAATTCAATGGTATAGAAATATGTAACTATACATTGTTCTTTTTTTTTTTGTAATGGTACTTTTTGTTAGAAATCTTTCGGATGGCACGTGACAGTGAAGATGTCATTCATGTAGGATTCTTCATTTTTTTCCTTTCTGTGTCTTCTTATGTTGATGTGTTTTAAAAAGACGAAAAAGAGAGTAAGTCGTGAGTCAGTGCTGTGTCTGTGTCCCTTTTTCTACTTGCCCTTGTGTTCGTTTGCGCTTTTTCAATTGTATACGTTTACTATGCACCGCCGACTAGCTCACCTCCAAACATTACTGCCGTCATCCGATAGAAATACTGACGCGTTTCAATCGGATGAATCCGATTGATCGTCGAACTTTTGTTTTCCTTATAGAGTAGTGTTTAAAGTGGCGATAATACTTTGGGAGAACTTTTTCTGGCATTTCAGGGACTTATGAATGATTTACGCTTTCTGTCGCTCGGAGGTTTTAGCGCTCAGATATCTGGAGAACGACTTACTTTACCTTAGACTGTTTTGGTTGCACCTCACGGGAGTATTTATCTATTTATTTATTAAAATTCATCCCCAGCGCCCAGAGAGCATTATCGCAGGAAAGTGAGAAAGGCAAATGTATACAAAGATACACACACGTGCACACAAAGCCATGCACAGAAATAAACATACAAATATACGAGCTTTGATAACTTGACTACCTAGAAAAAAATTTAACATAAAAAACAATACTGTAATTACTTTTGTTTAACCAATATCCTATTGTCACTGTAGCTAATAGTGCCGGTTACTCGAATCAAATGCGTTCGTATAGTCACATTCGCGCAATAAAAAAGGGCATATATCAGAACGAGAGTAATGAAATGAGTATATCTTTCGGGGTCGGTGTCAGGATGACTTAAATTTGGACCCTGCTGCGAAGAGGACGCTTTAAGGAGATATAGCAGTTTAAAATTAATTCCAAGCTTCGGTGCTTTGTGGACGAGTCGAATCGACCGAGTAGAAATAGCGCTGGGGTACAGCAGCGTCGGATAAGGACGCTCCAAATGTCTTCAGCCGTACGCCAAGGAACGCACCAAGGCATTTGGATGTTCGCGTGACGGGAACAAGGTATAGGTTGCTCGGTTCCTCCGCGAGCGCACGGTAACCATAGCTTCGACTCCATTGCCCCAAGGAGTTATACCAAGTATAGTACTTAAGTGACCTTCATTTATTTTTAAATCAATATCGCACTGATCCTTGGCGAATGCTCTACAAGGTTACGCGCCAACAACTCAAGGACAAACAACCACATCAATAACAACAAGTCCTACCTCCATCGGGAACTGGGGGCAGCATGAAACACAAAGACACACGTTAAGCGTGGGACGACAGTGGATGGATGGATGAACGGTGGTGTGCGTCGTAACTGGAGGTAGCCCACAACATTTAACCTCATTGCTCTGTCTCACTTTTTTGCTCCCCGGGAGCTATTAATTGTACGTGTCATTTTGAACTACGGCAGCAGGTTCTGCTATTACTAAAATATCGGATGTCGTGATAAAAGTGAATTACGTTTTTTCGGCCAGTGTAGGTCAAGTGCAGATCGCAGAAACCTAAAACGCCGTGAGAATGTAATTCTAGCGGTGGCGATAGAACGCGAAAGTTTGAGAACATGACGTGACCGGATCAAAAGAGAAACGAGAACGGCGAATTTTTTCCATGAGCCGACGTCCACCTAAGCCTAATGTCGGCTATACTAGGAACGACATCGTGGACGCACGCGGCATTTATATCAGTGAACAACACTTGGCAAGACGAAAGAAATTATTGCTGTCTTTCGCGATGAAAAAGTTGTTTTCGCAGCATTAAACCCTCGCCCACAGCGTCATGCATCGTTCTTGCGATGTTAGGCTTAGGTGCACGTGAGCTCGTAAAAATGTTTTGTCCTTCTCTCACATTTTTATTCAGGAACGTCATGTTTTTCAAACCTTGGCGTTCTATCACCACAGAGACATTTGCACGCCAACGGAGTTTCAGCTTTCTGCAATGCGTAGTTTATTTGCGGGGGCCGAAAACCACAGTTTTTTTCCCTCACGAATATGGTATGTCTAAAACGAGTCAATGATTGGCGATCACGTGACTTGATGCCCCGTGCCCAACTGAACTAATCCTAGAGGTCGCGGTTACTTCTTTGCAGCAACCGCGTCCGCCTTTGGTGTCGTATAATTCGAGTGATCTAGTGTGATCGGAAGAAACCGCAGTGCCCAGTGTTTTAGCCGACGTGTGGAACAATGAGCACAGCTCAAGCGCGAGAAGAGCGCAGTGATGCGTTACCTTTCACGACTCCCGTCTCGTGCGAGAGTCTTCGGACGCCAGTTGGTTTTTGTCCAGTCTGAAAAATTGAGATTTCTTCTTAACGTACCAAATAAGCTTACGCTCGCCATGATTTTAGTATATAAACATAATACACTCGGAGGTAAAACTTTTGTCACGGGTTCCGCCTCAACTGTTTAGCTATAAGTAGGATATTCCCGATATAATAATAATATTAATAATAATAATAATAATAATAATAATAATTATAATTATTACCTAGAACAAACAGTATGTTGGGATATAGTACAGGGTATTTCTCAAAATGCGGGGGACAATGCTCGTGCATAAATTAGGCATTAAAAAAGTCGTTTTATGGGTTTCTGCCAAAGGACCTATTTAAGAAGATTATTAACGTTGGATATAATTAAGTTCCCAATTACTTATGAGTAATTAACGTTTTAATTAGTACATTTAAAGGTATAGTTTCAATTAGAAACGTTCGGGGCATCATCAAGACCACTAAATCAGCGTACATTACAAAAATATAAGGCGTTCGCCGCATGTTACGGCATTCCTATTTCCCAAAAAGAAAACCACTAAATTTGGATGCGCTTCCCGTGTCGCTTTACACATCAACTGTGGTACTTGTGTCCCATATTTGCCCCACTTCCATAAGAGCGCCCGCCCAAAATGAAGAGGCAAAGGTGAACAATATGGAGTGGGCAATCTTACAGGGTGCGATAGCAAAATTTCATCAAAAATTTGCGCTAAACTCCGGGGCATCCGCAACGAACCACGTGACACGTACGGGAACGGATACCGCAGATTGCGAACGCGGCAAATTCGCGTGCTAAGGTGCAAAAAGATAAAAGAGAAATACCCGCGAGAACCGGTCGCTACAAATTTGGATGTCACAGGAACGGATACCGTAGATTGCGGACGCATCAGTTTAGCGTTCCGGTACGCAAACACAAATTTAGGTTTAAAATAAGGTAATTTCTTAGATAGTCTGCACCCGGTGCGACAAACACGCGGGAAACCGCTACAAACTCGTTTGTCACACGTGCCGGCTCCGCAGATCGCGCGGTTGGTAGGATCCCCGTCCGACATTGCGTGATGTTTAACGGGAACGGGGGGGGGGGGGGGTGCGTGATGTTTCGAATTTTTGTTATAATAATGAGAGAAAGAAACTGGGTGGGCGATCTTTTGGGGAGGGCGTTCATACGGAATTTTACTGTAGAGGTTAGTGAAAATGCCCATTGTACCCGCTTATCTTTTACGGTAACGCGTGCAAGAAAACCCTTGGTCGACTTGGGCGGACTAGGAGGTACGCGAGGCAGGTGGCTCACCGTGATGAGTCCTGAAACGAGGTCGGATGTCATCTGGTCTTCTGACTTTCCCTGGCCTACGCCCAGCTGCGGGTTGTAGAGTTCCGTGGACCGGAGGATTTCAAGCACGCGGTCCAGAGCTTGGACGACAAACACAGGGCTGTTCTCTTGGGTGGCAACCAGCATGTTAATGACCTGCGGACAGCCCGTCGCTTGATCAGGGTGCCAAAGCGGTATTCACACCAAGAACGAACCAGCGGACGGATGTGCGTGACATCAGCAACCGACGCAATAGACCTTCCCGGAAAATCCCAGATGAGCTCGCGGTTATCCCACATTAAACTGCACGGCGAGGGGAACAGAGGGGCTGCTCCGATGTAGGCTTGCGTCGCCCACAATCGCCATTTAAACATCGTCTGCACCTCTCGAAGCGATACGGATTTCTCTGCCATTAGGCAGGAATGCTAGGTACTTCCATGTCCACATGGAGCTCGTTACGTGACATAAAAATCCCTCTTGGCCGCAACCGCGGCCGCGGCCGCCAGATGAGCAAACCGCCCCAGGTCCGTCGAAGTGGGTGCGAATGTGAAGGAGTGCGTACTGCCGCTCCGCATACGCGCGGCTCAGTGGAGTGGAAGCACAGCGAGCTAAAATGGTCTACTGCGCATACCTACTACGCATTAGGAGGCCAGAATATATACAGCTGAAAATTTTGAGTAGTTTGATAATGCTATAGCATTAAAATATGGTTTTCGTGAAAAACTAGTCAAAATGCTAGTCGCCGGAAAAAATCAACCATCTGCGTTAAAGGGACACTTACACCGCCCAAGATAGTTTTTTTTTCCAGGTGATTTATTATGGTGTCAGTAGACTCCCCAATCAATGTTTTGCAACAGCGTCGCGTACATTTTTAATAAAGACAAAAACGCAACTGCTCGAAACCGAAACTGAAACTGGTCTGAGGAGGATATATATATATATATATATATATATATATATATATATATATATATATATATATATATATATATATATATATATATATATATATATATAGATAGAGAGAGAGAGAGAGAGAGAGAGAGAGAGAGAGTGAGAGAGAGAGAGAGAGAGAGTTGGCGGACGCACGTGGTTATGCAACTTTTTTTTAATCAACATATTTGCAGCTTTTTGGAAGCCTCCAAAAGATGGGGAGAATGTTTATTTTTTATTTTTAATATTGAGTGTGTGCTTTCGATGACCCACGACTTTGCTTATACTTGGTGATTGTGTCTAAACCATAGAAAACGGCACGTGACCACGGAGAAGAGAGTGAGCGCGACTCAGACCGGTTAGTTCTCGATCGTCGGTTTTCGGGAGGAAAAAAAAACAAATTTCGAGCAGAAAATTTGTTCTGCGTAGTTGGGCTCTCATATGTCATGTACAAATGAAAAGCTTGACGACAGTGTCCCTTTAAGTTCTCATTTTGAACTATTTTTGTTCGCGTTCCGGCCATTCAAAAGCATGGCAAAAAAGCCCAAGTATGCACCTGATCCCTTCACACCATCGTCTCCTTCCGCACAATAATGTGCGTCTGCTATCGTAGCCGAATGTCAATAGACCTTTCCACCCACTGGCATCTATCGTAGTAAGCTGGATCGAGGATCGAGGCTTTTCTTGCTGGGGTGGAGCGGCACCACCGGCAGCCATTGCTTGACACGAGCTAATGCATATGACTCTCGGAGAAACCGGGAAAACTGCAATATCTTACCCTAGTAGGTTGTTCTCGATGATGAAACTTTTATCGTGTTTTCCGGGAATGACAGGTAATATTCTGGGCGCAAATATCAAACGCGTTACAATACCGCTCTTTTCTAAATAAATGTGGCGTGGTTGAGGGTCGAGGGTCGCGGCTTTGTTGAGCCTAAACTAGGATTCGGTTCAATGATACAAGGGTTGCCGAGAGTCAATGTGGAGTTTTTCGTGATCCCGAATTCATCAGAGCTTAGCAGACGATAAGTTAGAAGGCATCTACTGAGGACATATGCATCGTCTCAAGCGCTTGTACAAAGAACTTCTGGTGCAAGCTTTTGCTTTGAACTGCAGGGAGGGCTTCTGTGACGAGCTAAAACTCGGAGTGTGTGGTTCATTTGTTGAACGTGTCATTTATTTAGCAACTGAAGCAAGTCGGTGGTGCTCCGGCACATTTAATTTTTTTCATCGGCGTTCGAACGCTTGACAGATACTGATTCGATCTCTGAACACCCGATATCATGACCGCAGCACATCATAACACACTCGCCTTCGAGCACCTCGTAGATGCTTCAATATTCCTACTTTTCCGTGCACACGTTTCTCCCATAGTCTTACGTGTATTGCCTGGTGTCAAGCAATGGCCGCGGGTGGTGCCACCGACGGGCTCCCGATTCGCGATCCAGCCTACTGCAATAGAGATCAGTGTTTCAACCGTCCGCCGAATGGGCGCTGCCATCTTGGAATCACGAGACGCGGCCGCCATATGCTGGATACAACTCGACGCTCCAGGGGGGCTATGTTGCACGTTTTGGACTCCCAGGAGACTAGGGAGAAGGAAGTGACGTAGGTGTGAATGAACGTATCTTAGCAGCACCACGCAACGCGTCATCAGCGACTCCACCAATCAACATCCAAAGAGCGTTGTTGACGTCACTTCCTTTTCCCTAGTCTCCTGGGAATCCAAAACGTGCAACATAGCCCCCCCTGGCCACCACGCCTTGGAGAATGCGTTGTATTTGTGCTTTTCGTCACGTGTCATCACAGTGTTTTGTCTTGCTCAGTAAAGTGTCATTCGATGCTTATCCTTACTACTTCATAACATGGCGTCATTGTATGCTCAACTTTTCCACGATTTTATAACATGTTCTGACTATTTCCATCGCCGGCGTACCGGATACGTGTGCGGAGGTTAGAAGAGGCGCAGAAATCAGCCTTAGCACTGGCGCACATTGAGTTGGTACATCCGCACGAGAATTGAGAACCAATTACCTATGACAGCGCAATGTTTCTCAGGGATAGTAACGAAACATTCGAAATAAGAAGCGCGAGGTATATTTATTATCGCGCGCTTAGGATCTTAATACGCGCGAATATAGTCAACGCAAGGAGTCACTATGGGCATCCCTCGAAAACATTGTGCTCTGCTTTCAAAAAAAAAAAAAAAAAAAGAGGAAACAGCTGCTTTTGATTTTATGGTGGAATCGTTTTTGCGGTATAAACATGCGCTTGATGGATTATTTTTTTATGCATTTAAAGGAACTATATCCTGTTCGGTCCCATGTCCACAGTCACTCAGGTGTTTTAATAATTATCTAAAGGGATAGGGCTCCCTGAGTGAAAAACATGTCACAGACAGCTTGTGAGTGCCTCAGGTACATGCAGTATGTGATGCCCAAAAGAGGCCGCCTGTATAGAAATCATAAGAGTGCAGCGTTGGCGATATCAGATTTACTTTTAGAGGCTGGGGACGCCGCCGAAAGTAAAAAAAAGAACGGATCTGTTTAAGCAAATTAAAATCTTTTTACACAGATCTTGGCATTTGACTTCAGCTAAACCAGTGTTGGAGGTAACGCGTTACTAGTAACCACGTTACTAGTAACACGTTACATTTTTCGCTAACGCAGTAACGTACTCGTCAGTATTCTGAATGACTAACGAGTGAAGTATTTCCGTTACTTTTTTACGGTATCGGCTATCAAATTACGTTACTCGTTACTTTTGACCAAAACTGGTGCAATACATTAGGTATTTGGGAAAACGTCACGACGCCTGATCTAACGTTTAGAATAGCAATCTTGTGCACAAAGCTGGAGACGTTAGGGGAACTAAATTTAGGTCACTAAGCTCAATGGAGAATCTAGCTTCTCTGCTCGAGGGGCAACTACTTGCGCTCGAGCCCGCAATGCCCAGGCAATGCCGTATCTTGCTTTCTCAACCTTCGATTTTCTAAAACGGTGGGTTTTCCACTTATCAGTCCATCTATTCACCCATCCATCTCAATATCTTGCACAAGCTTATCGCTGCACGGAACCAGCATCCGTCACAATAAACTTGAAAAAAAAAAAAAAGAAAGAAACCTTTCTGATTAAAAGAGACATTCGTTAAAAGGCCATATTATCTCGCTTCTCGAAGGCGAAACAAATGTTCGGCTACCAGCTAATTCCGTTCGTCGTCCTTTTTTTTTTTCCATAGTGCCACCACGAACAAGGCTTGAACGAACGACCGCGTTACTGCCCCATCCCCTCCATCTTCTTCCCCCTCTGCTTTGTGCAGCAGAGGTGGACAGCGGGGGGGGGGGGGGGGGGGGGAGAAGGGGGGGAGGCATTTGTTTAAAACAGTGGACAACTATAGTCAGTTACAGGTTAAGAAGGTAGCGGCAAATGCCGCTCAAAGGGAATCAGATATCCCTCCGCCACCTCCGCATCCAATGGCGTCCCACCGTTTCCGTGACGTCGCGGCCAACGCGCGAGGAGGGTCTTGCCTTTCTGTACATATTTGCTTTATCTTTCGACTTTGACTTAGCATTGTGGAAGCCACGAGAGGGAGATTAGAGTTCTCCCCCACCGACGGAAACAAATACGACTTTCGGGGATTAGCTTCCCCCCCGATGGATACAAAGGCTGCTTTCAGGGGCTCAGTTCCCTCTCCGATGAATACAAAGGTCGCTTTCTTAAAAAGTGGGATCGGAGACAAGAGGGAATCCATTGAAGCGGAACAAGGAGCGTTTCAAGTGAACTCTTCTTTCGACTGCGGAGAGATTTGAAACGGGCGCATCACACTTGTGGGAGGAGCTTCTCCTACCTTCTTGACTTGTAACCGACTATAGTGGCGAAGCGATTTGCTCGTTTCTCTAGTTATAAAAAAAAAGAAAAAAAAAAAAGAAAAAACACCCTTTGTGGAAATTTTAACCCCCGCTCTCCCCCTCGCTGCCTCGAAGTTCCTGGACCACTTTTGTACACAGAAGAATCTTTCGCTTGATCAGTCTTTACTTCACTAAGGTACACAATAAAAAAAAGAAATGAAAACGTTATAAATTATAATGCAATTAAATGCAAAGGTGCAAGCGAGCTGGACAAGCATGACAAAAATAATCCCTGGAGAAGGAGAAAAAAAAGGACAAAGGACAAACACAAATCTGCAAACACAGCTAGGTGACTGGTGCGCGACCGATAATAATCTGC